AGAGAGAGAGGGTGAAACAGAGTTAATGTTACAGGTTATAAACTCAGAAATAAGTAAGTGTGACAAATCTTCTCTGAACTGTTTCCAACGCATTAACACCGTTCATTAAGGATAGTAAGCGGTACTGTATAGTACTGCAGATGTGAAAACACCAATCGCCCATATAACTCCCGACTCTTGCATTCAATTCCCCTCACAATGCACCATAGCTGTGCACCAACCTGCCATCCTTACAGAACTGACCGCCTGTAATCTGCTGAATTTCCCACTGGCACGCTCTCAGAAAGTTGAGTGTGTTTGTTCTTTGATACTGAAAGAGAAAAGGGAACTGCAGCAACAGAGGGAACAGTTGCGTTGTTATTGCGATCAGCAGTTTTTACTCAATGTGCTCGTCAGTCACCTCCCCTTGGGGACAAATGAAAGCGGCACGAGTGATGGCACCTCTTTGAGCAGAGGATGCTGTGGGGCAAGAGGTTTTCATTCTGAAAAGGTCATGCTCAGTGGAGCTCAAAGCCTGAGAGGGTGATTGAGGAAGGGAAATTTGTGTGTCAGAATGAAAGTGTAACTGAAAGTGCTGACGGATGGATGCTCATGTACAAGGTACAAAATAGACTGGAGGCTTGGCTGCTCATCGTGTTTGATGTATGAGTGCAAAGCAATGTAGGAACACAGGTCCGCTCAAGTTCCTTGTTCAGGAGGTAAGACTGAAACACCCTCATTGTTCTGGATATTGGCAACTAAGTTCAACAGAATGAATAACACATCCGTTGAAAATAGAAAGGCAACTTATTATCTCAATGGAGAGAAACTACAGAGTGCTTCAATGCAGAGGGATCTGGGCATCCTTGTGCATGACTCTCGGAAAGCTAGAGCAATAATTCTATGAAAGCCAGCATCCCATCATCACGTCACCCTTTATTTCCATGTGCATAGTACATGACACTGTCCAAGCTGGCTCAAAGCCGACTCCTAGAGAGAACAGATCCCTTGACACTCTGGTTTATATCTGTCATCCAGGGCTCCTTTATTGCCCCAGATTAACAGTGCCAATCAGGGAACTCATATTTCTATGAGGTCCACCTGGCTGACCTTGTTTCAATCGCTACATCTCTCCCCTTCTAAGCCCTAGGACATAGGCTTGTTCTTTTTTTTCTGTAGCTTCCCCTGGGACACTCTCCCACTAGGTCTGGTTGCTCTGACTCAGCCTTGGATACTGACAGCATGTGCCAGACCGTGGCCCGACTCTTACACCCAGATTGTCTCAGAAGAAATTCATCTTCATCAGGCGGTAATAGCATTGAGGCTGTGACATCTGCAGTGTCCAACTCATCCTGAGAGATTTTCCTGACCCTAGATAGAAGGAGAAAACTGACAGGTTCAGACAGCCTTCCTGCTTGTTCTGAAGCTGTGTATGTTTTGTTCCTGCCCTATTTGTGAGATTGCAGCTTTCATGTAGTCCACGTGCCTGTTCAGGAATGCATCTCCTACCCAACTTTGGTACATCACAGGACGTGATCTCGCATCGACCATGCCTCTTACCCATGGAGGGCTATTCCCATGGATTCAACACCAAACTTCACCCCCTGAGGTAAACTGTATCTCTCACCTTGAGGAGCCTTGTGTCCAGCAGCAGTGTTCCTGATGCTGTTTCACCTTCTTCCTCAGGTTTGGGAATATCATGTTTAACCTGGTGTAGCGGTTTCTCCTGATTAGCAACACTGCTGGAGCTGTCCCTGGAGTGGTATGAGGGGTGGCACTAAACTTGAACAGGAACAGGGACAGGTTGGGATCAAGGGGAAGCTGTAGGATGTTTCTTTAAGCTTTCTCACAGTGTTTGAACTGCAGTTCCCACCAGATCATTGGACGATGGATGGTGAGGAGCTGTCCTTACCTGCCAAATGCCATTTGACTTTAGGAAATTGTATTGATTGGAACAAGGGTCAGATAGATCTCTTTGAGAATGAGAGCCTTTATTGGCCCAGGTTACCAACTCCTATCAGGGAGCCCTGGCTGGCAGACATAACAGGAGTCCCAGAGATTCTCCTCATTCCACGGACTGGCTCAGAGCTAGCTGGTCAGAGTCGATGTACTGTGCACGTGCAAATAACAGGAGACTCAGTGAAGGGTGATCGGCCTCTGTGGAGTTATTTCAGAAATACTCAAATTCCCTGCTTTAATTGATGGCCCATTGTCTGTGACAAACACCTCCAGGAGTCTGTGTGTTACAAAAGATGCTCGCAGCTTTTCAATTGTTGTTCCGTGTTTGATGAGTGAACTCTATGCACGTCCAGCCATGCTGAATGGGCATCCACAAGGATTAAAAACATCCAGCCCTTGAAAGAAATGGCACAGTCAACGTGTAACTGAGTCCAGGGTTTATCCGGCCATTCCCATGAATGGGGAGTATCTGCTGGCAGTAATTTTTATCCTTTTTGTCACTCTGAGCACTGCCCCACAAACACTGTTATTTCATCATCCAATCCTGGCCACGAGAAATAACATTTCACCAACATCTGCATTTAGGAAACCCCTGGATGACCCTGGTGGTGTTCACACAGTATATAACATCAACCTTTGCTCAGGACAATCATTCTTGTTCCCTGTAATAATGGTGATCTGGTCCAGAATGGTTTCAATTCTGGTTGTGATGGGCTGTCTGTTTCCCCCATCAATACCAGCTATTTTAGTGTTGTCCAGAATAGGATCTTTTTGTGTCCATAGGCTGATATTGTCAGTGGTGACTGGAAGGGTGTTCAGAAAGTTTATGACCTGAATGGACTCTTCCAGTGGCAGCACCACCAGTGGAATATCAGCCAGTGGGAGGCAGCTCAAGGCATCCAC